TCTTTTCCACTTACCTGCTTTCAGAGGCAAACTTCACTTTTGGTGACTTTGAGGTATGTGTGGAGACCGATGCACTTTAGTAGAGCTGCTCTGGTCTTTAAGCTAGTGTAATCAAGCAGAGCTGTAGTTAGTGGGTTGTTTCTTACTCAGTGTTTCATACAATCTATACATCACACTAGATGCTGCTTTTGGACTGTTTACACCAGGGTGACCGGGAGTGAATTTGTAACAGCACCCATACAGGGTTTCTACTTTTGTCTTAGCGTTTTTGGGTCTTTAAAAAGATCCCCACTGAAGACTTGAGTAAAATCCTCATTTTCATTAGGATTTTACTAGCTTACCTTCTAATTACTTTTTGGGGATGCTGATATTATGAGGCTTACATGACTGCATGTAATTAGCCATTTTCTGAAGTAAAGATCATAGGGATATAATCTTTCTTCATTTACAAGAGAAACTGCTGTGTCTCTAACTTGTTCTTCCACTGCGCTCTAGGAGAATATGCAGGGTTTGATGAAACACAACCAACAGCTGAATCAGGGGGGAAAGGAAAGGTTATTTCTCATCTGAAGGAACGGTTCCACTTTAAGAAGGTAGTTATGATTGGAGATGGAGCTACAGACATGGAAGCCTGTCCCCCTGCTGTAAGTATTAAAGAATTGGAATTCTAAATTCCTTTTGAGCAAATCCTTTGTGGGCAGGACGGGGGGGACAGGGACGGATGATGACACACAAACAGATGAGAACTGTGGTTTGAATTCTTTATAGGACTTTAGGGAAGATCTTTAGCACATCCCACAACCTAAAAGTGATCTGTGTAGGTAGTTTTCCTCTAGAAAGCCTGCATCATGTAACGGTTCATTTCTCAGTTTGGATAATCTCAGTGTCACCCTCTAAGGCAGGATGCTGCTGCGTCTAGCAGGACTGTGTAGCAGCCAAGCAACCTATCTTAAATCAAGGCAATATTATCACGTTCTCCTTCTGCCCTGTGTCCCCACAGCAAGTGCTCACTTTGGTGCAGAGGTCATACCCTGCCAAGGTCCTAGTTCTGAACACTGATTAATGGTGCTTAGCATGAAGGTCTGGCACAGATCTGGTGCACATTTACCCTACACTGGCTTGGCAAGTGAGTTCATGTCACTGTATAGCGATGACACCTTTGACAGGATGACAGCCCTGACAGGGTGAAATAACAACAAAATCAATAGACAACTTTTATAAATGATCATTTTGCAGAAGAGATCTTAATTCCATCTCCCCTTTAGCACCTTTTTCTGTGTAAAAGCACCCTGACACCCTTTCTGAGAGACATCCCCCAGTGCATAGAAATGCACAGGAGCAAACTCTGAGAGCTGCTGCCACTGCAAGTCATGACAGCTGGTTCCTTACCGTTAAACATGAGCATGACCAACGCTGCTCAAGTGTGTGCTTCATGCTTTCTACCTAAGGGCAAACCAGCAGCAGTGGAAATTTTAAACACCCCACTTTCACTGCAGGTGGTTTTCCAAGATGTAGAAATGATGATTGCTCCTGGTTAATGATTGAAGCCATGGTTAATGTGTACTCTGGGTATCTATCAAATGAGGTAAACAGAGTTAAGGTAAACAGTATAAGGATAATTGTGAGATGCTGCATGCGCGTTGGGATGTTAACTCATTCTTGAGTAGTGAGGCCTTATGCTGCATCACGGTTCACATCAGATCTTCAGTAAAATCTCAGATCTGAACAATCTTGAAGCCACTGAAACACAACTTTCCTACTGGAACAAAACTGCAATAACCAAAGTGGTGCAAAATCAAATGTAATGAAGTCCTTGTTAATGAATTTGAAAAATGAATACACAGAGTAACGGAGGGGAAGAGGCAGGGAGGAACAGTGGCACTTTAAAATCAAACTGAATTGCTGAGAAGCTCCATTCCATTCCCAGTACACGGGACTGCAGTGATTTATGTGCCCTCTCTTTCTGTTTTGCCAGGACTGTTTCATTGGATTTGGAGGAAATGTAATCAGAAAGCAAGTAAAGGAGAAAGCTAAATGGTACATCACTCACTTTGACGAACTGCTAAAGGAACTGGAAGAGCGATAAATTATACAGTAAAATAATATATTTAACCACTCTACATCCATTATACAATGCAATTAAACATTTATTTGTTTGCAAAGTTTTGTTCTGGATTTTGTAATGATTCTGGGGGTTGGGTACCATCATCTCTGCCCTGAAACTTGTGCTGCAATTGGCACCATTCTACTCAAATCTTTTGTCATGAAAATGGTCAGATTTTTGAAGTACCTTTTCCAAGGTGGATGAATTCAGTTGATTATTCACTCAGAGTGAAACGCAAAGGTAGAAAATCATCAGAGATGCCTCACACTAGACCATGTCACCCAAGGCTCTGTTCAGCCTGGCCTTGAACACTGGATGGAGCATTTACCATTTCTTTGGGCACCCCGTTCAAGAGCCTCACCACCCTCACAGAAGAGGGGCCACAAACAAGAAGTTTAAATAATTAACAATAATACAGTCTAAAAGGAAAACAAAATGGTACTTTCCATTCCAAAGGCTTTCAGAACTAGGCTGAGCAGTGAACAGACAGATAGGAAACACTACCATCTCTGATTTCATTAAAATACATCTACAGGAGAACCTGAGATGTCATCTGTGACTCAACATCACTAAACTTCAGAAGGGTGATCTTGTAACATAGGCACACACCATTTACTTCACTGTTTTATTAATTCAACAACCCATCCCCATCAACTTGTAACTGGGTGGAAGCTAATTCATCAACCTTTAAAAACATGGTCTACTGATTCAGAAAACAGTGACATTTATCCTCTTCCTCTGCCTCAGTGTGGATCAACCACGCTTGAACTGCTTGTGCTAGAAGTAAGTCTGACCTGTTCTAGGTAGGTACCACTCTGAGCTTCACCTAACAAACCCCAGTTCCTTAAGGATTTTCCCTTTGTGGCACCACTGTCTGATCCAAGAGCATCCTTACACAGAGCACACTTAATAAATGCTTTTTTCCAGCAAGTTCCTGACAACTCTTCTGCGTATGCCTTTATAAGCAGCTTGGCTGACATGATGTGGCACTTTTACTTCCCTGACTTAGATGAATCTCACCTCAGATAACATGAAAAGCTTTACTAATGTTAAAATGTATGTCACATCTCCCACGTCCTTCATTTACCTAATGCCATCACAGGAGGAAGATGGGTAGATATGACAAAATTTGTGGTGGAGAAAATATATCTATGCAGGCTCCAATCTTCTGGGTGCTTACAAACAGTGCCAGGATTTTTCTGGGAATTGAAGATTATGCTGAGAGTGCCAATTCTCCTTCATCCCACCACATATTTCATAGACGAGAAACAAGTGCTGTGCCTGCCTTTCAAAATCTCACACTGTCTCCACAAGATAATCCCACGTTTGCACAACTTGCGCTAGATTTCCTTCATTTAACAAGGTCAAATCAAGGTGCAGTGAGAGCTCCTTGTCTGAGCATCACCAACAGTTAAACCAAATCCCAGTTCTGTCCATTCTGCACCATCAATAGAATGGATATAGCGGAAAGCAGCATCAACAGAGCCCCAGGGAATGAGGAATGGCAGCTATCAGTGATGTCACCCAACACTTTTGGTGACAAGTATGAAGCAATAACCCCTTGAAGTTACAACAGCACTTACAGACGAGAGAAAAAGAAGGGTTAAAAGAAGCAAATCCAGAAATACACTGCTTTTTGGAGGCAGGCAGACATATCAAGAGCAGCACTGAGTATTCCAAGCTTAAAGAACTCCACAAAGCCAAGGCAGACAATAGCTGGCAGGCAGCTCACAGAATGCTGCTGGGAGTATCAACCATGATCTCTTTTGAATTCTTCCTGAGAAAAACCTCAGCCAGCTCTGAGGGCAGCTTATGTACAATCATGCTTTTGTTTAGTCAAGACTGCATGAGTAGAACAAGTATCAACTCCTTTGGCTCTTACTCAGTGTGCTCCTCTGCAATTCCACAGTGAGGAAGCACAAGCAGTGTCTGTTAGCTGCAAATAAAACAATCTAACATCCAGCCCGTCAGCTATAGCTACCGGCCCTGCTCTGACAAACACCGCAACGTACTTTGGTGTGTCATTTCCCTAATGGCACAGTCAGAAGACCGTGCCCAGGCTCTGTGCCACAGAGATGTTAACATTCACAGCGGGATCTTCTGCCAGTCGGAGTGCTATGGAAACATGGTGTCGTGCCAGTGATTTCACAAGAGCTCTTTAGGTCTGACTGGCTTGAGAAGAATACCACCCCCCTTCCACTGGGCAAATATCAAGCCTGACCTCTAGAGCAGGAGGCACCAAAAGGATTACTTGGCTTCGAGTGGCTAAGCTCTTTTGTCTGTAAAACACTGGGAAAAAACGAGGGGGGAATAAAGCAGCAGGAGGGAAATTCCAATGCTACATCCAAGCTATTGATTCACCTGAACATGTCCCATCATAGCAAAGTGTGGAGAGCAGCACATCAGGCCAGTAGTTCCTAGTTTCCAGGTGGGTATCCTAACACACCACTTCATATAAAGCTTTTCATTTATTTATTATCCAGCTTTAAATTATATATTCAATTTGTATGAGGGGACTTGTTGTTTGCAGCTTTTCTAGGAAGACTACAGCACAACTAAACCTGAGTTTTAATTGTGTCTTTGTTACAGTGGAACAAGAGGCACTTCCAGGCATCGTTCCCTACTCCCTAAGCACTGGAAAGTGACTTCAGTTCTGCACTCTACAAACTCTGCTCTAAGAAATGCTGACATATTGCTCACAAAGGAAAAAGGCAGAATCAGCCATGAAATTAAGAAGGGAAAATCAAAATAGTGTTTACAACAGGGCAAAACCCAACTTCAGAGAGGGCTCAGGCAAAGGGAAACAAGAAAGATCAGCATTACTTATTTATCTACTGTGGTACATTCCAGTTTACATAGTTATCTGTAACTAAATAACAGGAACCGGTCTCTCTCTGATGACAGCCACAGAATGAGTTTAGAGCTCAGAATGACAGGCGGCACTTTCATAATACATGACAATACCACTAGTGGGAATGCAGATCTTAGGCAGTGTATAAAGCCTGAAGAGACTTGTGTGATGTTACCCCGCAGAACATCCAGTTATTCCTTGGATTCCTTATTCATGAAAAACTTGGTGATCCTCGAACAACAAGAGCTCTACCTGACTGGAATTCCTAGTGCTCCCAGCTGAAGGTAAGAAACATGGATTGCATCAGAACCCACAAAATCCTTTAACTCCAAAAATGGTTTTCACCTTCTGTCTCTGACTGAGATTGCTGGTTGTGAGGGACAAGTTACAAGGAATTCTCTAGGAATAAGAAATAGGAGGAAAAGGGGAGAAATAACCGGGACTGGAAGCCGATATTGTCATCTTTTTTTCCTTTTGCAGCTAAACAGTAGACCCAAAGGCCTGGAAAATGACAGCTCCAGATGATAGGACTGCTCAGGGTTGATTTACAAGAGGGAACAGCTGCATTGATGTACATGGCCCATGTGTAAGCCAAGCTGAGAACTTGAAGCTAATTTAGTACAGAATTTTACTCAGTAAGATCCCATTATCAGTTGGCAGCAGGAGGAAAACTGGAAAACAGGCAAGAATCACATCAAATACTGACTTTGTACAAGATGAAATTCAAGCAAAGGCAAGAGTGCAGAGTAATTCACATGGGAATACGGAAGAAATCAGACCTGGAGTATGAAGTATAATTTGTGGAGACAAATCAAAAAGAAAACCTATTTTGTATTTAACACCACAGCACTTATGACCTCTAGAACCTCAGCAAAACAGCATGCAATGGAGATCTTGTACATTTGATTTGGGGAAAGAGAGCAGGATACTGGGAAATGCTGTCCCTAACCCAGAGAAGTGACAGTGGCTAACTGAGCTGGAATATTCTCCACAATTATTCATCCTTTCCATAATGAGCACTGCAAGATGAGAGGAGACATGGGTGGTGCAATACATACAAGGTGCCAGTAAAATGTGAAAAGTAAAAGGATTTTATTGACTGATATGTTCTTCCTGAAAACTCATTGAAATGTACAAACTGGACATCGCATAACTGATTTGTACATTCTGTAAGTTACAGATTCTTGCAGCCACTTGAAAGAGAGAATATTGTTTTCACTTACAGGATGTTCACATCATTCAGACACCAAAAGGGTTGATGATACATTCTAGTCTAAAAGTGAAACCAAAACAGAACTGGACATAATGGTACACCGCTATATGCCAATCCTATTGACTCAACATGCGGCAGTTTCACACATCGATTTGTTAAGTACCTACTGTACACTTAGTGAAACACCTGACCAAGCAAATGTCCAAAGTCATGACTGCTTATTAAATTAAACCCCTTTTCCTAGACTTCCACCTTAGCTGTAGAGAGAAATGTGTTTAACTGAACTTGATTCCCTGCAGAACACTCAGACAGCTATGCCTGGTCAGTATCTCTTTGAAAACCGTGGGTTACTCTTCACAAGATTCATTGTGGGTGTAGACATCTACACAAAGATGTGGTTATTGTCAACAGGCTTCAGAGCCCTGGCAAAACAGAACGCCCTGTTCTCTGTCCATAAGCTATAACCTGGCAGACAGTACTATCCTCAATCCACGACTGCCTATTGGTAAACTTAGAGCTACTTACTGACTCAGGCCTGCTAGAACAGTGAAGCTATACTTCAGAGCTGCCCAAGGGCTTCAGAATTTCAAGTCTCAGAACTTCCACGTTTGCTTTTAGAATCTGCAGTCACATAATGCTAGACAAAGGCCACAACAACTGTAACACTTAACTCTGTTGCTGTTAGTGCACACTGGGCGTTGTCTATGTAACAGAAGATATTAAATACTGTATGCCATACTTAACCTGAGGAGCTGTCTCACAGAGGAACTCATGTATGTCTTTGTACTTGTTTTCAATTAACCAACATTTAATTCCAGTGCAGTATTTCTTGCTTTCTTGGTACAATCCTAAGAGCAAAAAGTCATTAGATTCTGAAGAAAAGAGGTCTCTTTTATAAGCTCAATACAGTACTTTTATATTTCAGACTATGATATACAATGTATACCATAAATTAATTTAAGACAAATACTTGTCACTTTATCTATGTAGGCACAAGTAAATCAGTGACTTTACTGAAGCGGAGAAATCTTCAATGGTATCATGATTCTGGACTCCATTTCCTGAATAAGGGGCACTGAAAAAAAAAAGGGAGACAGGGTTTAATGTCACTAACAGAGATCATGAGCAGCAATGCACACTCAGTTTGAACTGCTATTGTTACCCTCAAGTTACTCTCCTAGCTAGTGCATGCCAAGTAATCAGTAGCCACTGACATTCCTGTAACTGAAGCATTTTATTTCTATTCCCTTTCACCATAATGAAAGTTACCTTACATTTTTCTGGTATACTTCCTTTGAAATGCACCCTGTGGTACCCAAATGTGTGGTGCTGAGCATACTTTGGTGAGGTTTGTTATGAAAGCTATCTTTGATCTCAAAGATCTCCTGGCTACTAGTTCCAAAGTCAAAATTCCCTTCTCAAAGGAATGCCTTTAACAAGGCTTCTGTACTGCATAAAATATTATAAAGAGTAATTCAATATAAATTTCACTAGTGGCTCCCTGCATTTTGGACACACACAGACAAAAGCACCAGAGATGCAAAACTTAGCACTGTGCAGTGTACCAAAGAAGAAAAATGATGGCATGCACAAAAAGTCTACCTCCAGCATTCCAGTGAAGTTAATAGGTTACCTGTGTAATAGACTAGCTCATCCCAGCCTGGTTTATGCCATGCAGCATTCCTTATATCTTCTCTGGTTTGGAGATCTTTGTAAGCTGGTGAGGGAAAACAAGCACAAAGCTTAGAAGCAACTCTTTTTCTTCCTACACATGAATAGTTCCCTTAAGAGTATTCTAGTGCATAAGTAGGAGGCTGCAAACACTGGGAAGGAATAAAGCCAGAAGTTTTTCTCCACAAAAACGAAGAGTTCCCAAAGTCACGCAAACAGAGGAACTGGGAAAAGGAGGGAACACTTTAGACACAGGTAAGACAGATACATGAGTGCTGTCAGATTTCTAATGCTGGAATGTAATACTCTGAATTGTTGAGATGTGAAGATAATACTGTGTATTTTCTAAACTAAATATTACATGATGAGTTTCTTCAAGTTCAAACAATGGCAGAAGCAGGTAAAGCATTTGTGGAGACTGACACACAAGGAATGCCAAAACACCTTGATGTAGTAATGTAAATAAACACTTGACTTTCCTTTTTGTAGGTGTGGTGTATGTGATGCTTGAAATTAAACTGTAAAAACCTGACTTCAGCATGAATGGGGATGGAGAAGAGATGGCAGGATATTGCTTGTCATGCTTATGTTACTGAAAGCACACAAGTAAGTCCCTAATAAGAAAGGGCCATGAGAAACTGTGGATGGAAAGACAATGAAACATTAAATGTTCACTTCTGCTTGCTTGTTTGAAGAATAAAGTTACCTACACAAAACCATCAACACTGTCAATGTAAAACAAAAAAATCCCAACAACCTTTAAAGATATTCCTTTGCCTTTTGTAAAAGCCTTGTCTTCTGGGCAAAGGCAACAGTCTGTTGGGGGCTGAGTCAGTGAGATAAAAGCAGAGAATACAGATTTACCCCAGAGGTGATGAACCATATACAGCTGTCCAATTTGTGAGAAAAAGCCTCCAACTGCTTCATTATTATCCTGTCGGAAACGAATTGCACGAGCCCTAGAGAAGAGCAAAGCAGCCATTAAAACCAGCAGATCTGGGTAGGAAATAGGCGATAGCTAAAAGGAAAACAGCATTGAAAGCAGGTGAGGTGTTAAACAGCATCTGCAGTATACTTCCACAATTGAAAATAAGAAAAACCTCTGCAATACACTGCTCCTCAGCAGTATTAGTATTTAAGTATTAAGTATTTAAAGTATACCTAAGTATCTTGTTACAATGAGTTAAAATTGCAGGCCCATGGTTTTACTAGACTGTGCATCAATCATTCTTCAAGGTTAGATTCAGTATAAAGATAACTGCTGGACCAGCAGAAAGTGGCATGTTATTGTTATAGCAGGTTCTTCTAAAATAAAATACTTGAGTTTCAGTCATATCACCCTCATTTACCACAGATTTTGGGGTAGTGAAATACAACTCTTTAATTCACACAGACCTTTGAATGCAGCTGTCCTATGTAACGCTTCATGATTTGTTGTGTAAATAAGATCAATACTTCTCTTAAGTATTAATCTGCTGCAATTTCTGAAACAGATTGGCTATTACTATAGATATTAATTGTATCAATTACAATGACATGTCTGAAAATCCAAGCCCTCACCTTTGTCAAACTACTTGAAAATGCTTCAAATGGTGTCTCTATCAATCATTAGAATTGCAAGGACAGTGAATGTAAACTGAACAAAACTTACATTGGTTTTCAGTAAGACAAAATCAGAAGCATATACTCAACAGAAGGCTGTCTCAAATGCTTTTAACATAGATATTAAAATGGAAATGTGCTGCCCATCAGCTTTTCAAGAAGCAACTTGACTTTTAAAGATTAAAAGAGCAAAGATTTAGCCCATTTAAACCAAAAGTATGTCAGCTTCCTGTGATTTGTGAAAGATCAACACTGGCTTAAGGAGTTAATTGCAGCCCTTTTTGATGAAAAGAAATGGTTTCTCCTATATTACAGAAAACTAAAAGGGTTATATGAAGGAAAGCTAAACTATAAAGCCCTTAGTGTTGTTTGCACACAGAATTCCCCTTTCTTTCCTTGAAGGATAAATTAAGGGTCAAAGAACTGTCCTACGAGTTGTGTAAGTACAGAAGCAGGCCATTAACTGGGTGACTGAAATGCTTTGGTACCATCCTGCTCCCTCCACTTCCTGATTTTTTAACATAAAGCTCCCAAATAGGAGAAAACAAGTGCTAAAGTGACACTTACCAGTAATTTCCCCACTCAATCATTGTTCCAGGCTACAAAAAGCAAAACAAACTGTTAAAACTGCAGTTGAAACCAAGTTCCTTAAAGAAAGAAAGTATTCTTACTTGGACAGTTTTCACAACATTTACATTGGGAAAACACTATGTATTAACAAAATCACTTCCTTTGAGTGATAAACATAGTATAATCATCTGTAATTATTATGTTTACTTACTGTATTACTTCTTTCTGCCTGAAGTTTCCTTCAAATGAAAACACAGGGGTTTCAGCCCTGCAGATATTAGTATCATGTTGGAGCCTGCCTTCATTTTGGGCCCCCACTTTGAGATCAACTCAGACACCAGCTTTGATAAGAACCACATCTCTAAGATGAGGTCTGTATTCCATCTATATTGTATAAACATGCTTTGAACATTTTGCAACAGCAGAGAGCTTAAAAAAGAAACAGAAAACAATTAAACTTACTCTAAGTTGATAGGATCTCAGTTCATAAATATTAGGCCCCGCTCTGGGAACAGGTTCATTCCAGAAACTAAACTCCAACAACAACTGGTTCTTGCGGGACAGGAGCATGTTACCTCTTTCTTTGCGGAACTCTGTGAATTCCTAAAAACCAATGGGATCACTGTCAATGTGTGTGTTCTGTTTCAACAACAAAAAGCAGTCTACCATGTGGTGGCACAGGGGTTTTTAATGCCGTCTTGGGATTCTGGGACATGGAAATCCTTTAAATTGCAAAGGCATCTAAATTCCCCAGGGCATATTTGAAGATTTCAACTGGTATGTTTCCATAGCACTAAGTGAACTTGCTTCAGAAAGTATTCAGGCATTAAACCTCAGTATTCCTGAATATGAGAATAGACCCTTTTTCAAAGAGGTTTCTTTCAGGAAGTGATGAGGTACTGAAGCAAAAGCAGGTACCCAAATGTGCAGTTTCTTGCTTTGACTATTATTTGTTCTCTTCTGAGTAAAATAACCAATTGTAACAAAATGAACACATTTTACCTTATTTTGGCGGAGTTTATTCATGACCTCATTGAGCGCTGGATACCCTCCCTCGTATCTCCACAGATGAACTGAAACAGACAAAAGGAAGCTTTTTCCGGGATGTCACAGACCTGTGCTAAATCTTATGGAATGTCACAGTATAAAATGCTGTTCATACTACAGAATTATACAAAACCCAGAAATCAGGTAACATGTTTCAAAGTAAATGGCATTAAAGAAAGCACTACACATGCTTTCTTTGTGAAATGGGAGCATTTTAAGAATAATGGAATCATCTGCTTTTGGGAAAAGGTTCTCTTGGCAAATTTTGCCATCTAATCCAAATATAACAGGGCAATTTCTGAAAGGGCTTTCTGTTGCCATGCTTTGGGATAACTTTATGTGACCTTAGTTTCAAGTATCCTCAATTTCAGAGAATAATTTAAGTTCAAAAATGTGCTTTATACCAATTTCATCTCAGAGCAACAGAGGGGTAGACTTGTTAAGTCAGTAAGTTACTCAAGCACAAAAAGGAACACACTTTCTGCAGGACATGAAAAATGATGCAAAAGATGGTTCTGAGGTAAACATTACATTAAAAAAGGCAGAAGGTATCTGAACATGCCAGAATTGTTACATTTGCTAGGATCTTCCCCATAAAAACATATTCAGAACACGTATCCATGTTTAAGTTTTTTCAAAGCATTCTCTCTTTAATAAATCATAACAGATTTTAATATATTATAACAAGATGTATTTACAAGCACTTAATATAGCACGGCAACAATATTTCACCTCAAAGAGTCACAAAAGCTGTTTTCTCTCCTCTAAAGCAGTCCTGTGCCTGTTCTCTCCAGGAGAGCAAACTGGAGACTAATGTAAGGCACTTCACTATGATAGCAGATTCATGCAGCGTGTCTGCTTCTACTGTCTCATCCCTAGGGCAAATTTGATTTATCCACCTAATATTAACATAGCCTGGGCACAAATACTGAACAAATCAAAACCCAATACTCCGCTTCATTACACCGCTAGAACTGCTGCAATAACATTTTCAAGGCAAGCTATGGATGCAATTACAGATACAGTCAGTGTTAATATGTTACAAAAGCAACGAATGAGACTTGGCTAAAATATTCTCATTTCAACTGTCTTCATTCCCCAATTCCCCTTCAACTTTTAGACTTGTTTCTCAGACATTGGTTGGTTTATCTACTGCTACTTCTCTGCATTTGTTCAGTGCCAATATTGCAATATGCTGCGAATGAAGGATGAATTCATGTGTACATGAGTGTAGTTTTAATAATGAAGCAATTACATTGATATTAGCATAGCTCTAACAATGGAGCTACATAACAAATAAGGTAACAAATATCAGTACACCACTCTGTGGCTTCCCATTCTTTCGATTTCCAAGAGCCTAGGGAATTTTTCAGGTTTTCTCTTTACACTAGACTCTTTGTATTTAGCTCTGTAGCAGCTCTTCAGTTATTAATAGTTCCAGCATACTTTCAATCTGCACACTTAGGCAGTATCCTTCTATGAGCATGAACAGAAATATTCTTACTTTCCACCAGTAAAGGCCTAGCTTATTGTTGAATTTACAATGCAATCATTTCTTTTCAGATGACATGAATGATTTGTACTTTGTTATCATACAGCAATTACAGTATGAAAGTCAGAGTAAAGCTTTTCATGCTGGCCAGGGCATGATAAACTCTGTAAGCCTTTGCCTTTACCCTAAATATTCAGGAACATGATCTGTGCCCACAACATATTAGAGGACCACATTTCACAAGCATTTCCCAGATCTGTTAATCTACCACCTGGAAAACATGAAAGTGTATTAACAATAGACAAATTTTAGGAATTAATGCCTTACTGTCAAACTCAACAAGACAAAAAGCAAGCACTGTAAACGTTAACATGACTATTGATAACTGATGCACACACCCCCTCGCTGTATACATTGCTAAAGGTTTACTGTCAACAGAGATGATTTAAAGAGAAGAAACCTGCCAAGCACACGTTTCACTTGTATGGTTTTACATTCTGTTGTACTTCTATCTCCTACCAGCCTGATCTTGCTCTCCGTACCACGTGTTCCAAGTCCCCACCAGTGCACATGGGTAGTGTTTTTCTTCATGAATCTTTGGCAGCACCTCTTGACTTGAAAACAAGGAATACAGACACTATATTGCATTTCCTTCAGGGAGGCTACAGTTGATATGTATAACAAATCACCACACGTTTATTATTATGGTATGAAAATTCATAAGCTCTACTTTTCAGAAGAGAAAGCTGAAATACAAAGATCTGCTACACAGGGGAAAGATAGCTACAGCACTATGGAAAATTAAGGGAAATGTTACCATTTCTTAAGACTGTATGACACATACACAGCATAGCAGAATTCTTTCGATGCAATACATTATGTCTGTCACCTAAAAGGTTATCCAACATTAGGAAAATAAATATCAGGATGTCTCACTTACAGAAAACACAGATTAACTACATAGGTGATATGCTTTGGGAAAAGCTTTCCTTTATCAAGGGAGGTAGAACACACAACAATAGCAAAGGACAGTCTTCTGTATCAGTTACAATGCTATTAACTGCAGATGTGAATGAATAAAACCAAGTATTTTGACGGATCAAATGACTACTGTACTTCATAGTATACTGCCTTATTACTTTCTACCACTTCAGGAAGTAGTTTTCATTTGAGGCAACTTACCCATTGAAGCATCCAGTGGAACTGCCTTCAAAATGCCCCCAACACAACACTTCTGTTTGACTATTGCCAGTATTCCTAACGGCTTTTTCACTTTAAAAGTGGCCTACATTAGCTTCAGGAGAAGTTTCACTGATTGCTGACTCATTGAAGACAGCTTTCCTTGCACTGTGCTTTGATGAATAAGGCAATTAGCCTGGTTGAACTTCACCTTTTCCTATTTTCCCCTGAATAATTACCCCTCTTACTCAGTTTGGCTCATAGGCAACGAGTCTCTGCACAATAGGAAATAAAAGGATGGCCTTGGGCTGAGAGTATTAGATAGGAGTTTTCCTCTTGATTCTGGCACTGACTTTTTAGACAACCTTGAGCAACTCTCATATCAATTTGTACCTCACCATTTTTCACTACACAGTGTAAATAAGACAGAATGACTCTCCAAGGCTGTTTCACGATCGGTTCATTTTTGTAAAGCATAGTGAGGTCCTGGAAAGGCAGCTTTCAACAGCAATGTTAGATTAGTACAATAACCCTAAAACATATTTTGTTGCAAATTATAGAAAAACCCCCATCACATAATACCTTAAAACCTTTAAAAAAAAAAAAAAAGATGCCATCTTTTTCCTTTTTTAAAAATAACTGTTCTTAATTTTTCTGGAGGGGTCCTTACCCACAGTCATTCATTAAGCACTCTTGTAACTGTCTTCATTACATTATTTCTTTATTAATACATAATGACCAATTGGTATTACGATTTGCTATAAAGAATTAATCTGTTAATCTTTCATTTAGGGAGAGGAGGGAGGGAAGTTCAGAGAGGCTTTGGGTTTTTTATTCCTCTATTCTTTTCTCCTTCCCTGAAATACTTAAATTTGCTCTGGATTAGTATAAATCATGTACTTCATCTGACTGCTGTCAGTAATTTCCTTCTTTGCTACTATCTCTTTCCTTGAAAATAAAAGCCTCTGCTTTCACTCAATATTTAGGTAGCTCATGAGATAACACAGAGAAATGGTTCCATGTTGTGTAACTGGACATGTTTATATTAAGCCTTTATACAGAAATCTGGTTGAATGCTTCTCTCTCTATTTCATTTTTAAACAAAAAAGCTAAATATACCTTATGACTGAGTGTTATTCTAGTGGATTTCTATGTTTGTATAGGAAGGAAAAGAGTTCTGGGTTATCTAGCCAAAGGCTAGGACAGCCAACCAGTAACAGAGTAAAGGACATAAACTAGCAGTTGTGAACTTCTTCCCCACCCTCCAGCCCAGATGGTGTTCTCACTGATATAGCACACTTAAAAACATTGGTTGCAGTAGGGTATCATTATGGTAAGAATGTTTTGTTTAACTGACAAGATGATCACTGTCAGTGAGACAGCACTGCTGTTTAGAAACATGAGGCTCACTGCATTTCCAAATCTAAACACACAGCTCTTGAACAGGCAGTTGTGCTGGCTCCAGAGCAGTGATTATAAAGTAGAAGAGGACCAAGATTTCTGCACTTTCATCCTTGAAATACTGAATTTAAAATTTTAGTAAAATAAAGCTGTAACTTCCTGGAAAAGCCATTAACTGCTACTCCCTTTGAAGATATCACCCCAATCCCAAGATCCTGTTCAAGGATTTGCACAGCTCTTTAGGAGCAGATCTCAGCAACATTACTTTTATAAAAGGACATAGATGAGCTGAGAAAAAGTCAGCCCCTGGGTTTTTAAAATCTCCTCAAAGTTATACTTCAGTTTCATACTAGCATGTAGTTTTACTTACCACTGACCTCTCCCTTTCCTTCCTGTATGCAGACAACCACTCTCAACATATTCCTACATGGCAGCTGGAGTGGGACATCCTAGCATACCAGGATCTACCTACACGGACCAGCAACTGTAAGACAACTAATGGAAGGGGCAGAGCTGTTCAACAAATGCCACCAGTGTGTTCACAACAGGCA